TATAAAATTATATATGGATGGAATGAAAAACTTTGAGTTAAACTCATATTATATTTATGAAAAGGAATTATAATTTATAACAGAAACTTTAGCAATTTTATTTAATATGGCTATTTATCTGTTATTTTATAAGCCTACTCCTATTATCATTTCTAAATAACAATAAGAATAATATGGAGATCATTTTCAATTACAAGGTATGATAGGATAATTATTACCAGAAGAGATCAATTCCCAATTAGTACCAAATAAAAGTATTTTATATTAAGATTCTATTAAATATTTCTAAAAATGGCCATTATTGCCCATTTCTTTCCTAGAAGAATTAAACTAAAATTAATAACATGAAGAATTTGAATTTTAATAATTCTTATCTCCTTTTAGAAGAAGAAATAGATTTGTAAATGTTGAATTAATTGCAAATATAGAGGAAGATGATGGTATGTTAGAATTAGAATATGATGATAATGATATGTAAAGTGAATAAAGTGGAGACTCACATAATTCTCATGAATCAGCTCCAGAAGATCTTGAAGAAGAAGAAAATAGTTGGGTATCTAGTTAAAGTGGAAATAATTAAATAGAAGCAGAAGAAGCATAGAATTCTTCATCAAGTTGGACAGATGAAGAAGATGAAGATGAAGATAACGATTAATAAGAGGAAGAAGAAGAAGGAAGTGAATAGGATGAACAAAATGAATAGGAGGAAGAAAATGCTTCAAATAGTGAATTACAAAGTGATAATGAAGAAGATATGGATTAAGAAGATGAAGAAGATCATGAAGAAGATTAAGAAGAAGGAGTAATTGATGAGGAAAATGATGGATTTGAATAAGAGGAATAAAACAATGAAATTTCAGAAGAAAATATTGAAGTTACAAAACAATTCCATCATCTTACTAGTAGAGAAGATTAAGCATTTGCTAAAATGACTAAATCTATCATTCAATTAATTGGCATTCAATTCCCATAATAATTTGTGAAGGTCTTAGATAAATTGGTCCATTAGTTACCTAAAATGAATTCTCCAGATGATTCTTAACCTGTTAATTGGTGGACAGAACTAACATAATTTATATCAAAATCATTTTAATTAGATGAAAGATCTTATGGACAAGAATTGAGAATGCAACCATTATTTAGAGATAATAGATTCACAAATGAAATCTTTAGAATTGACTAAAATGATAGAATATTTAATAGATTTTAAGCAGCAAGATTTGATCAAATCGACAGATAAGAAAGAAATGAATAACTAAGATAAGATAGATACAGATCATTAACATTTAGAAATAGAAGAGAAGAATTATAACTTGAATAATAATTATTATAATAAGCTCAACCTTAAGCTAATTTATTTTAATAACACCAATAACACCAATAACATCAATAACATCAATAAAGTCATAGTAGAGAATAAATTATTCGATTATTTAATTGGAATTAAATCTCATAAAGTTTATAACAACCATAATAAAATCTAGCTCCATTATAATAATAAACTTAAAATTTGCAAAGCATACAAGATTAATTATAATAATAATTCTTGAATTTGCTTAATTCGACTTAAAATTTCTAGTAACAGTAACAATAATAATTATAATAGTTATAATAATAATAATAATAAGAAGAAGAATAATAACAAAATTAATAATAAATATAGGTTGAAGAATAATAAGTTGCTGTAAGCTAAGTAAACCCAGAAGTTATGTAAATAGAAGCATAAGGATAAGAACCTGAATAATTAGAAAAATAATAAGTTTAATAATAGTAATAATAATAATAATAATAATAATAATAATAATAATAATAATAATAATAGTAATAATAATAATAGTAATAATAATAATAATAACATATGCAAACAGAAGAATAACCTTAAAAAGTAGAATAATCAAATTAAAATATTTAACAAGAGTCATAATTAAATTTAGAATAAATTTATCCAAACACATTTAGTTTCTTACAAAGAGTAGGTAGAACTTTTGATGATTTAACAAATAACAATATAGATCCATCAGTTTTTGAAGATTTGTCAGAGGATATGATGGTTGATATTATTTCAAACATTCCTGAAACTAAAGAAATAAATAATATTGAGGGAATAGATCCTTAATTTTTATAATCATTACCCCCCGAAATAAGAAGAGAAATCTACTAATAATATGTATAACCAACTTAAAATCAACCATAATAACAATCAGATTTAGATCAATTAATTGCTTTAATCAATTAAACTCCTTATGATGATAGAGAGGAAATGTATTTGTAAATAAGTGCTGAATAAGTTAGAAATTTACCTTAAGATTTAAGGTAGGAAGCCACCTATATAAGAGATAGAGCTGATTAAAGGGCTATCGAATAGACAGAAAGATAATTGTACTATTAGGTTGATCCTTAGTAATAACACTAAAGAAATCCTAACCCTTAACCATAATAATAAAGAAAGGAAAATCAAAAATCTTTGAATTTGAAGAATTTACTTCAAACTTAAAGACATTTAGTTTAGAAATTAGGAAATGTGGATGATGAGTTTGCAGAATCATTATTGAGATTACTTTATGTTGAATCTCATAGCTTCGTGAATTTTCCAATAAATTTATTTATCGCCTTGACAAACAATCCTAATGTAGAATATAAGTTGATAGATGCACTATTTTTCATTCTTAAGAATCGTAATAATAGAACAGATTAGAGTTAATTCCCTCCATAAATATTAATTAGAAGAAATGGACTATTAAGAGATTAAAGTAAGATTTATGAGATAGTATCATTAAAGATTCTATATTTAATTTCAAAATTGTAAGGTCCATCAATAAAATACTTCTTTGAAACAAAGAAATAAGTATAATTGTAATCAATAGCCAGACTTACAGAAGGTACTTAAGATCTTCCATTGTTATAATTAATTTAGCTTTTGCCTTTGTTTAAGGGTGATCATCAAGAGTTGTTGATTTAAGCTATTTCAAATATAACAACAAAGTAGAAGGATTTTAAATAAGATTAATTAAATTTAGATTCAAAATCTGTTGAATGTGTTTGTACAATATTATTGTAAAATATGAATAGGAGTGTTAAAAACTTTTCTCATATTATTTTAAATCTAAGTAATAATAAAGAAAATCAATAATTGATTATTAAATATATAAAGGAATTTATTTAAAAGATAACTAGAGAAATAAATAATAATTTTGCCAAACAATGTTAATATGATGAGATATTTACTGCAGATAAAGTTTTAATAAATGTATTTTAATTTGTTAGAGAAATGAATGATAAAATTGGTGAAAATAATGACTAATAAGATACAAGAAGTAATTTTAAGGAATTATTGGAAGATTAATGTTTAATATAATTATGGAGAAATATGATAAAATTATTGCAAGACATTCCTTAATAACAATTAGCAAAATTAAGTACTAAAATATCTCCATATTTGGAATGCTTTTTCATTATTTATTAATTGGTCAATCCTTTTAGAAAAAATAAGAATTTTTAAAGAGAACCAACTAAGATTGCTAGTATGGAAGGACAATAACAAGAGGTTTAAGAATAATAATTACATGATGAATTATTCTAATAAATTTGTGAGAGTGGCAAGGTTTTATTGAATATGATGATTAGAGAGAGATTATAAGAATTGAGAGAAAAAGGAAAATTAGTTAATGATTCTTTAGGAGTTATAATATTTAAGAATCCTAGAATAGTAGATTTTGATAACAAATAGAAATATTTCAAAATGGAATTAAAATTATTGAAAATGCAGAACAATAGACATCATTATGGAAATATCAATTTAAGATGTAGAAGAAAGGATATATTTATGGATTCATATCATCGTATAAGTAAATTAAAACCAGAAGAATTAAAAGGTAAATTACATGTAGAATTTGATGGAGAAGAAGGTGTTGATGCAGGTGGTGTTACTAGAGAATGGTTTTTGATGCTTTCAAAAGAGATTTTTAATCCAAATTATGCTCTTTTTACTCCATCATTAAATGGACAAATGTTTTAACCAAGCAATAAATCTCATGTGAATCCAGACCATGTTAAATATTTTAAATTTATTGGAAGAATTGTAGGTAAAGCATTATATGATGGATAATTATTGGATACATATTTTACTAGATCATTTTATAAACATATTTTGGGTTAGAAATTAACAATTCATGATATGGAAGATATTGATTTGAATGAATATAATAGTATGAAGAAAATTTTGGAATAAAATGTTACAGATTGGGGAATCTATTGGACATATAATGTTGATCATTTTGGTAAACTTGAAGAAAGAGAACTAATTGAAGGAGGAAAAACTAAATTAGTAACTGAAGAAAATAAATTCGAGTATGTTCAAACTTATTGTTATTAAAAAATGGCTAAAGAAATTAAAGATTAAATAGAAGCTTTTTTAAATGGATTCCATGAATTGATACCATAATCATTAGTAAGTATTTTTGAATGGAAAGAAATGGAGCTAATGTTGTGTGGTTTACCTGATATTGATCGTAAAATTATTAATTTTATTATTTTAGTTGAGGACATGAAAGAGAATATTGAATATCATGGTTATGATAAAGGAGACAAAGTAATTTAGTGGTTGTGGGAATTGTTGGAAAGTTTCGACAAAAGTAAAAGAGCAGCATTCTTATAATTTGTTACAGGTATTATATTGTTCTATTATTATTTTAGGTACTTCGAAAGTTCCTTTAGGTGGATTCAAAGAATTAAAAGGAATGCATGGCCCTCAAAAAATATAGGTACATAAAAAGCCTTATGTCAATTTTGAATTACCTACTTCTCACACATGGTAAATTATAATTCAATATAATTTAGCTTTAATTAATTAGACTTACCTAATTATCCAGCTAGATAAATTTTGAAAGAGAAATTGGAGTTGGCAATTATGGAAGGAAAAGAAGGTTTTGGTTTTGCTTGATATAAAATAATTTCACATTATTTAGAATAATTTAACTATTTTTTTTATTTTATTAACGATAATGATTGGAAGACCTCCAAGAACTAGAAATGAAAGATAGTAAAATCCTTAGATCAGTGAAGATTAATTGAAAATAGAGCTTTAGATGCAAGCAGAAAATAAAAAGAGAGAATTAAGAATGCAACAACTTTAAGAGAAGGAAGAAAATTTAAAATAATTAGAGTATGCAGGACAAGATGTTGAATCATTTAGGAATAAGGTATATGCAGAATATCAGGATGTCATTCCACAGTAATCTAAAGCTGAGTAAGAAAGGGCTGCTCGAATTAAATTGAGAGAAGAGGAAAGATTGAGAAGAAAGAATGGCTTAGGAAGTGCTTACGAATAAGAAAAAGAGAGATTACCTGTCTAGTTAGAATAAAAGCTTTTACAAAATTTGAATCAAATGAATAATAATTAAAATGCAGATTGGTTAGATAAATAATAAGTTATTTCAAATCAAAATAATGCTAAATAACATTATTAACAATAACCCATTGTTAATTATTATCCTGATCAAGTTTATGGTGCAAGATAAATATAATAGTCGTAAGTTAATAATTAAATTAAGAATGAATCATAAAAATATTAAGATAAGTAAAGTTATGAACAACGTTATTAACCACCACCTCAAATGAATAATAATAGTAATTATTAGAAAAACAAAATTAATGAAGCAGCAGAATAAGAAAGGGAAAAAAAAAGAAAATATAAAGAATAATTAGACATGTAGATTAGTTAGAAAGGTTAATAAAATTAATAACAAATATAAAACCAATAGGGATTGTAATAATATTAATAATAATAAAATTATCAGTACCAATAATAATAATAGAATTAGTAATAATAATTAAAACCACATTCATAATAGAGTTAGAGATAACCTTAGGCTGAAGTAGATTTCTTTTCAAAATTTGGTTAACCTTAATCCTAGTAAGGTTGGAGATCATAATAATAACAATAATAATAGTAGTAAAATTAGGATAATGCAGCATTACAAAGGATGAAATATAGAGAAGAACTTGATCGTTAAATTTTGGAAAAAAAAAATAGAGAAATGGAATAATAGTAATAAAAAAATCAATAAGACTTTGCCAAAAGGCCAGCCAGTAATCCAACAAATGTGTTTGATTTTCCATAAGAATATGATTATAGAAATAATCCACCTCCTTAATCTCCTAATTATTATTAGCCCCCATAATCTGCACCAACTGATGATTAATCAAAAGGAAGATTCCTGTAGAGAAGATTCACAAGTGGATAGCCTGAAGATCCGCAAAAATAAGCTATAAAGGAACAATATGCAGAAGAATTAAAAAGATAAATGGAGGAAAAGAAAAGAAAGAAAAAAGAAGAGGAAGAGGAAAATAGAAGAAGAGATGAAATAGAATAATAACAATTTTAGTAGTAAATATTACTTGAGAAAAAAAGATAGGAAGAGTAAGTTAAATTAAAATAAGCTGAATTTGATTAACCTGTTTAACAAAAAGAGGTAGTAAGGAGAGGAAAATAAAATATATAAAACGACCAACCTTAGTAAGACATTATTAAGAAATCTGCCTTACAAATTTTATCTCCAGAAAGTGCTTTGTAAAGAGAATAATTATCATCCGTTTAAGATCAAAAGTATTAATAATAATAATAATCATAACAATAATAACAATAATAATAACAACAATTATAATATATGTAATAGTAATAACCTCAATATTAATAATATTCCTAAGTTTAGTAACATGTTCAATAAACACCTTATTAGCATATCCCTTACCATCCTCCTATGTCGCCGTTGATGAATGTTTATAATCAATTCCATTAATAGGATAATTTATAACAATATCAATAAGTACTTTTCAATGATCAAAATACACATCATCCATAAGCTATTATGGTTCATTAATAATATTTGATGTAGCTCCAACAAAACAGATAGGAAATTGATCTAGTCAGACAAATATTAGAAGAAAAACTTAGACTGTAATAAATAGAAATGTAGAATCAACTATTAATAGATTAGTACTCAAGAAAAGTAATGGATATTTAAAGGGAGTAAAAGTTATTTGAGCAAGAAATCATAAAATTGTAAGACTTTATTCAAGGTAAATAAAAGCGTCCTTTAGATCCAACTGTCTTTGCCTCTAGCGTTTATTTTAATGCTTTAGGTAAAAAAGATAATATAAATTAATCACCCCATTAATAATAGATAGCTAACATATAACCAATTAAAATCTCTCCCTTTTCATCTCCTACTGCTAATTCATAAGCTTAATAATTTTAGAAGTAATTTAAATAATCAGATATATCATCTTAATATTCGCATTAATATTAAGAAGTAAATTAGTTACTTCCTGAAAAACATTTATAACCTTATCCTTAATAATAATAATAATAATAATAATAATAATAATAATAATAATAATAATAATAATAATAATAATAATAATAATAATAATTCTTACAATAAAATAATAAACCAAAAGGAATTACAGAATCTATGATTGATAATGATGTTGAATTACCTGCTGAATCTGAGTATGTAAATTATACTGAAGAATAATTAGGTAAGAGTTTTATGCCAGAATTAAAAGAATTAAAATTAAAGACACAAAATTCTTAAATCAAATAATCTGAAAATGCAAAAACACTATAATCATAATAATTCAAGACCCTTCAATCATAAAACTTTTCAAATAATGACTTTTAATAACATATTTAATAAAAATCATCTATTACAGATGAAAGTTGTGAATTACCAACAAATGCAATTTAGAAATCGATTCCTCCTTAATTAAGTCGAGTTTAAGCAAGCCAGAATGAGTAAGACAATTTTTAAGATGAAGAAATTGATGAATCAAATTAAAATTCAGATGAACAAGATTATGAATAAAAAGATTTTGAACCTGAAGAGGAAGATGTTAATGAATAAAATATTGATAATCCATTTGATTAGAAAGATTAATAGGATGATTAAAATGAGAATTCAGATAAAGAATAATATGATATTGAGATACCAAATCCATAAAATTATGATTTAAACATGTTAAAGACCCAAGAATATTATGCTATGTTTGTTGAAAATATCAAACCTTAATCAAGATAATAAGAATTAAAATTTCCAGCAAAATTACTTTAATAAAATACTTTAAAATTGAATAATGATACTATATAATAATCAAGTATGTGTGAATAAAGTGAGATTATAGAAAGTTAGTTAAAGTGTAACAATGAAAATTAAGGGGATGTTGAGGAAGTGTAAATGAGTTAGGCTTAATTTTCTGTATATTAATAATCAATGGCAATACCAGAGGATGAAGAACCCTCATAGCCTGTTGCATCATAAAATGCATTAAAAAACTCGAGTAGAAAATATTAAAAACCTAAAACAGTAGATATTTTTAAAAATGAACAATAGAGAAATTCAAATCCATAATCTCAAAATTAAATTCCTCAACTTTAGGAGCAATCAAGATGTACCAATTAACAAATCCCAGATTAATCAAGATGTACAAATTAATAGATGCCTGATTAATCTCGTTGTACTAATCAAAATCCAATTGCTTCTCAAACTTTTCTATATCAACCAAGAGTTGAATTAGTTAAATCCAGATTAGAAAACCTTTTTTAACATACTAATGAATTAATGGCGGATCTACCAAAAGTAAAAGTTGAAAAGATAGTGGCTGTCGATGATGATGAAATCAAATCTTATAAAATTGAGGAGAATTCTTAGTGGTAGTAACAATTAGATTTGTTTGCCTACGAATAAAGCCATAGTTGAAATTAATTAAAAATATATATATATTCGTTAATGCACAAAATTCACTATTCTCATCAATAATCTCCTTCTGCTACTCCAGTTTAAAGTTCATCACCATTAAAGAAGACACAATTAGTACTCAAATAAACAAATAGAACTATAACTTCATAAGCAGAAAATGCAGTTTGTTACAAAAAAAAGAGTAAAACAACTATGAATGCAGAGATAGAATTGAAAAAACAATTATAAGTGCAGAATCAACAATATAAGGAGTTAGCTTTAAAATATGAGCTATCAATTTAGGAAATTTAAAAGTATCAAATGATGATTGAACGCAACAATTAAAAGCGAAATCATGAGAAATAATAACTTCTATCTGAAATATCTATGTTAAAGAAACAATTAGAATAACGTAGTAAATCTCAAATAGATTTACATGAGAATGGAAGTATTTAAAACTGTAATTATTTTTATAGTTCTTGGACATTTAGTTAATGAGGTAAATTAAAAGGCTATTCTGATGGAATTATCTGAATATAAGGATAAGTGTAAATAACTATTAAACGAATTGGATACAAAGAATCTGTAGTTAGATTAGTAAAATATGTTATTAAATTTAAGTGTTACAAAAAAACTAATAAATACTCCTTCTTGTTAAGAATTAATTAATTAAGTGCAAGATCTTACTAAAAAGTTGAATGAACAAGAAAGCAAGCTTATTTAATATGAAATGCAATTAGAGAAATAGCTGTATTGATATTGTTAAAAATTAGAGCAAATAACAAATCTAAGTTTTTATTTAGAGGTGCTGAGTATTTCAATAAAAAGATATTAGATGCTGATATTTTTAGTTCTTCAAGCAATATACAATCGACAGTAACTATAAAATTAAATTTAGATGTCAAATCAGAATGAAAACTCTTCCTAAGCATTGTCAAGTTATATCAAGTTTTGAAAATAATCTGAATTCGTTTTATATTATTATTATTATTATCATGAATATATTAATGCTTTTGTTATTCGTGTTAGTGAATGTAAATAATTTTATTAAGTCAGAGCATTCTTTGAGTATTTCCTTAGAACAAAATGATCTAGAAGATACTATACATTTCCAAAAAGAAGAAACTCTAACACTTTTAGATATAGCAAACGAACTTGAGCAATATCATTTATTTTAAGTTTTGGGTACTATGATAAAGATATTATAAAACTAGGAATTGAAGCTCAGGATAGATAAATGAAAAGGCTGGCAGTGGCATCAATAATATCGATTTTAACAATTGCTGCATGCTGTGGATGCTCATAAATAATATAAGCATATTCAAAATCATGCAAGTAGAAACTCCCACCTCCAAAAAATTAATATAGAAGGATAGAACAAAATGCTGACTCTATATGAGAATAATTGCATTAATATTTTTATTTTATTAAATTGAATTCACTAATTTAAGCTGACTTTCTAGCTAGATTAGTAGAGCTCCAAGTATCTAACACCTATGTTTGGGGTTGATTCACTATTTAGTCGAGTTTTTTTAATAATCATTTATATGTATATTTAGAATAAAGATAATATTTTATAATTGCCTTGTTTTAGTAAATTTAGTTAAATTCTTATTTTTATGAACAAGTTTCTCTCATAAAATAATAAGATTTTAGAAATCTACTTTGAATGGCCAATCATGAGTTTAATTATGGCAATTCTAATTTTGCTGATTTGTTTAATATAACTAAAAGAGTTTTTCATTATATTAGACTTAACTTCATCTAGAATTTAATTTTTTCTTAATTTTTATTTTTATCATCAAATAAAGCAATGTGAGAAATAGATGATAATTAAATTTGCTGACGAATAATTTCTATCGAAGTTCCATCCTTTCATATTCAAATCGATCAACTTGTAGTGATTTACCAATTTAATCTCTTTCTCTGATTTGACTTCTTACTTTCTATCCAATTGCAACGGCATTATTATCGAAATATTTTTCTTAAATTATATTTCGTTAAGACTTAATTTTAATGATTAGGTAGAGAATTCTATCAAAAATTTATTTATATTGTTCAGAGTTTCTGAAAGTTGATAATGAACAAGCCTTTTATTATATTATTCTAAACAGACTCCTACTTAGTCTAAATTATTGAATTTAATTAAACTTTTTATTTAGATGGTTTAATTATTTCTTTATATTTTGGTAATAATTTTGTTAAATTATTTTTATAGCAGAATCTAATTGTAATTGGTCATATAATAAAAATTTTCTATAACATAAGAAGACATGTCTACTGATACTTTTGCATTTGCTTTTAATCCTTAAAATATTGATAATATGGTTAATAAGGCCAAGAAAAATTGGAAATTGGTTTATTTGAGATAGCTTTACAAAATTTTGAGAGTAAATGAAAAGATAATTAAGAAAGCTTTATGGCTTTGGAGATAGATATGATTCATTTCTCAATTCAATTATTAATATAGATTTTATTTAGATTTGGACAATAAGTATGTTATTAAAAAATTCAATATCGCCCTTGTACCTTACCTTAATGTAGGAACTTGGATTTGAAGTAGTCTTTCCTATAAACATTAGAAAGTTTAAGGGTGTTTAACCAACAGAGAATGTTCATGCACCTGATATCTATTACATTTGATAAGTCTGGTTACATTTGTGCTTAAGTCTTGGTATTCATAATTAATTCTTTCTGGAAATGCTTAGCCATATCCTTCTTAGAGTTATAATCATGAAAATAGTATTTTGTATTCTTTTTTGGAATTAGAATAAATACTAACCTAAATTATAGATTTTGTAGGTATTCCCAATTAAAATTAATAGTCTACATGCTCTCATAATTTTTAATAATTTAACAAAAAATCTGTTTTGATTAATTGGTATAATATATGTACTTATTTGGTAAGTATTATTTGTTTAATAACCTTAAAAATATATAACCCTTAGAATAATTTGAACTGCTCTTGATACTAATTTAAATCATCATTTAGAACTGAGTAGTTTTGGTTAAAATATAATATTATTTTTATCATTGCTACAATCATCTTTTGCTTGGATTCTATTGTTCTTTGGTTAATAAAATATATTATTTTAAATGTCATAAAAATTCGGACCTCTTTAATTAAAAAAAAAAATTCAAAAAACTAATCCAACAGAAAAAAAACCATACATTCAATAAGAAACAGTTGAAAGTAATTAATTATCATATATACAAAAGAGTAAGAATAAGAAAATGAAAAAGTTAAAAAGTAATAATTCAATCCAGTTGAAATGGCTTAGTAAGGAGGAACAGGCAAGACATAAGCAGAAATCCAGTATGATTTAGTTAGGCTAAAGAGATTAGGTGAAAANTTAAATTATATTTCGTTAAGACTTAATTTTAATGATTAGGTAGAGAATTCTATCAAAAATTTATTTATATTGTTCAGAGTTTCTGAAAGTTGATAATGAACAAGCCTTTTATTATATTATTCTAAACAGACTCCTACTTAGTCTAAATTATTGAATTTAATTAAACTTTTTATTTAGATGGTTTAATTATTTCTTTATATTTTGGTAATAATTTTGTTAAATTATTTTTATAGCAGAATCTAATTGTAATTGGTCATATAATAAAAATTTTCTATAACATAAGAAGACATGTCTACTGATACTTTTGCATTTGCTTTTAATCCTTAAAATATTGATAATATGGTTAATAAGGCCAAGAAAAATTGGAAATTGGTTTATTTGAGATAGCTTTACAAAATTTTGAGAGTAAATGAAAAGATAATTAAGAAAGCTTTATGGCTTTGGAGATAGATATGATTCATTTCTCAATTCAATTATTAATATAGATTTTATTTAGATTTGGACAATAAGTATGTTATTAAAAAATTCAATATCGCCCTTGTACCTTACCTTAATGTAGGAACTTGGATTTGAAGTAGTCTTTCCTATAAACATTAGAAAGTTTAAGGGTGTTTAACCAACAGAGAATGTTCATGCACCTGATATCTATTACATTTGATAAGTCTGGTTACATTTGTGCTTAAGTCTTGGTATTCATAATTAATTCTTTCTGGAAATGCTTAGCCATATCCTTCTTAGAGTTATAATCATGAAAATAGTATTTTGTATTCTTTTTTGGAATTAGAATAAATACTAACCTAAATTATAGATTTTGTAGGTATTCCCAATTAAAATTAATAGTCTACATGCTCTCATAATTTTTAATAATTTAACAAAAAATCTGTTTTGATTAATTGGTATAATATATGTACTTATTTGGTAAGTATTATTTGTTTAATAACCTTAAAAATATATAACCCTTAGAATAATTTGAACTGCTCTTGATACTAATTTAAATCATCATTTAGAACTGAGTAGTTTTGGTTAAAATATAATATTATTTTTATCATTGCTACAATCATCTTTTGCTTGGATTCTATTGTTCTTTGGTTAATAAAATATATTATTTTAAATGTCATAAAAATTCGGACCTCTTTAATTAAAAAAAAAAATTCAAAAAACTAATCCAACAGAAAAAAAACCATACATTCAATAAGAAACAGTTGAAAGTAATTAATTATCATATATACAAAAGAGTAAGAATAAGAAAATGAAAAAGTTAAAAAGTAATAATTCAATCCAGTTGAAATGGCTTAGTAAGGAGGAACAGGCAAGACATAAGCAGAAATCCAGTATGATTTAGTTAGGCTAAAGAGATTAGGTGAAAAAATAGAGAAGGTATATATACTTTTATAAACCCTTTAGAAAATGGATTTAACATACAGATAAAAAATAGAAACATTTAATAAGAAAATATAAAAAATGCCAGAACATTATGATATACCAAAAGTTGGTCCAGGTTGAGATTTGAATGTTGTTTATTTAAGAAAACTTAATACAAAATTCTTCAACTAATATCGAAATTAAAATATATTATATATGGATTAACTCCTTATTTTAATAGCATTTTGTAAAAATGATAATTATGTAATAGTTTTATTACTTTTACATATTGTCTACTTATCAATTTAAAATATTTACACAATATATGAAAGAAATATTTTTGTTTTTTGTTGTATATTATAAAATTTATTGCAATACACTTTGAATTAAAAAAAGTTAAACACTCAAATCTTAAAGGGATTTATATTATGAAATAGTATTCTGGAAATAAGAAATCAAATTTTATATTATATAATTTATTATGAATCCATCAAAATTGAGTAATTCAGAATTGGGAAATTTCGATAAATATATAGAAGATCTATATAATGGTTTATTATTAAGTGAAAATGATGTAAAACTAATGTGCTAAAAAGTGTTAATATTTGCATTATTAATCAGGCTAAAGAAATACTAGTTGATGAACCAAATATTGTAGCAGTAAGAGCACCATTAACAATATGCGGTGATATACATGGTTAATTTCATGATCTAATCGAATTGTTTCGTATTGGAGGCAGATTACCAGTATTTTAAGAAATAATATTAAGGAAACAAATTATCTCTTTCTAGGTGATTATGTAGATCGTGGTTCCTAAAGTGTTGAAACCTTTAGTCTTATACTTTGTCTAAAAATACGATATAAAGATAGGTTGACTGTATTAAGAGGTAATTAGTAATATTAGGATAGGTAATCATGAAAATAGAGAAATTAATAAGATTTATGGATTTTATGATGAATGTTAAAGAAAGTATGGAAATGAGATTGTATGGAAACATTTTACAGATGTATTTGGTTATTTACCATTGGTGGCAATAGTTGAAAACAGTGTAAATAAGCATTTCTATTATTAGATTTTTTGTACACATGGTGGTCTATCACCAGCAATAGAGACAGTTGATCAAATCAAATAATTAAATAGAATTTAAGATATACCTCATGATGGTGCAATTTGTGATTTATTATGGAGTGATCCAGAAGAAACTAAGATGGGATGGGGTGTTTCACCTAGAGGTGCAGGATGGACATGGGGTTAAGATATAACAGATAAATTTTTGCATCAAAATAAATTGAAATTAATTGCAAGAGCACATTAATTAGTAATGGAAGGATTTTAGCATGTTCATCAACGAAAAACTGTTACAATATTCTCAGCTCCAAATTATTGTTATAGATGTGGAAATTAAGCTTGCATTGTAGAAGTTGATGATTAGCTAAAAATGAGTTTGTAAATTAATTAACTATAAAAGCTCATAATATGAACCTGCTCCAAGAGATAATGAACCTTAAACCACAAGAAGAGTACCAGAGTACTTTTTATGATTTAACAATTAAATATATTTTATTCAATTATTCACTGATGGTAACATATCATAAGTGAATCCTCCAATCCCTAACACTATCAATAAAAACATTCCAGAATAAAAAACACCAGGTATTAAAAGCATTATTGCCAATATAAAAATGGGATAAGTTTCGCCTAAACCTTTCTCTTAATATTGTAATATTCCTTATTCTGTAAATAATATTCCTGCACTTAAAAGGAAAAATGATAAAACGATTGTTTTATAAGGTCTATTGTATCTGATTCGAAGTGGAGGTGGAGATTATGATCTCACAACTCTTTTTTTATTAAGAGGACGTGTTTCGCTGTAATCCTTCATTTAATATATACAATTTTTATTATTATATTGTTAATTTAATCTGTTTTTTAGTTTTTTTATTTTTTAATAAAATATATCATAAATTAAGAATATATGATTATATATAATATATATGTAATTTATTCATTACTTATAAAATTTAAATTCATATTATGTTGTCTAATCGTTAATCTTAAATATGGGTTAGACTTCTTTTTCTAAACAACATTAATTATATTCGATTGTAATAGCAAAATTGAAAGTAAAGTCTTATTTCAAAGAGGATCGAATGATTATCTCTAATATATAACTTAACAAAAATCCTCTCATTATTATATCAATAATTGTTTTACTGTATAATTTTTGTCTATTAGTTGACCAATTAACAATGATATTTTTTTCAATCATCTTAATATTTCCACTAAAGGTTTCAATTGATGATATACTTCTATTTAATTCTTTGTTTACTTAAGCTTCAATCTCTTGATTTTATCCAATCAAACTAAAGCAAGTCATTTTAAGCAATTCTATAAACTGAGGAGATGATGTACTCAACATTATCAATTCTGAATATGCTTATTCATCATTCATATTTCTTGCAAATCCTTATTGATAAAATAAAATTTAATTTCTCAGATTTTGTTTCTTATCTTCTGTAAACATCTTTTATCCAGGAATCACAACATCAAAGAGCATTTATTTTACAAAACAACAAACCAATTATTTATAATTTGTTACTAAAGGAGCTGTAGCTTTATTGATTGATAAATTGTCAATTGATACTCTGCTTTCACTTTCGTTTTTCATTAATCTTAATATAGTACTTCATGTTTCTAAAATTTAATGTTGAATATTTAATAATTCCCTTTAATATTTTGAATTTGAAATGAATTAGTAACAATATAATGAAATGTTTACAGCATTCTAAACAAATAAGATTTTAGTAGAACAATTCGATATATACCTTAAGTAAAAAGTATTATTATTGATTTTTATGAAGTGTGGTCATTTTTATGATGAACATTTGTTTTAATAATTGATTGAATTATCTTTAAATAATGGAGTAATAGATTTAGAGTGTTTTATTAATTAATACAATGAAACAGTTGATACTTTATAATATCGTTCAGAAATATTAAATAATAAGATCAAAGAATTAAAAGTGTTAAATCAATAATTGAGTGATTAATTAAATTCAAATGCACTTTAATAGAACTCTTTAACAATATAAATTATGGATTGTCAAAACATTGAAATAAGAGATCCAAGTGTTTATTTATAAATATGTTGTGGAGCCAAAACACACAAAACTAGAACAATTAAAGGAGTGAGTCCATAAATTTAAGAGTAATTTGAATTTCCAATAGACTCTGGTTGTTAAGATATCATAATAACACTTTTTGATAGTGTAAGATATTGAATTAATTTTAGATGAATGAAAATATGATTGGTTATACATAATTTTTGATTTCTGAATTGAGAGAATAAAAATTAAAAGATATTAGTGTTAATTTATAAAGATAGGATAATATGAAAATCAANATATATATGTAATTTATTCATTACTTATAAAATTTAAATTCATATTATGTTGTCTAATCGTTAATCTTAAATATGGGTTAGACTTCTTTTTCTAAACAACATTAATTATATTCGATTGTAATAGCAAAATTGAAAGTAAAGTCTTATTTCAAAGAGGATCGAATGATTATCTCTAATATATAACTTAACAAAAATCCTCTCATTATTATATCAATAATTGTTTTACTGTATAATTTTTGTCTATTAGTTGACCAATTAACAATGATATTTTTTTCAATCATCTTAATATTTCCACTAAAGGTTTCAATTGATGATATACTTCTATTTAATTCTTTGTTTACTTAAGCTTCAATCTCTTGATTTTATCCAATCAAACTAAAGCAAGTCATTTTAAGCAATTCTATAAACTGAGGAGATGATGTACTCAACATTATCAATTCTGAATATGCTTATTCATCATTCATATTTCTTGCAAATCCTTATTGATAAAATAAAATTTAATTTCTCAGATTTTGTTTCTTATCTTCTGTAAACATCTTTTATCCAGGAATCACAACATCAAAGAGCATTTATTTTACAAAACAACAAACCAATTATTTATAATTTGTTACTAAAGGAGCTGTAGCTTTATTGATTGATAAATTGTCAATTGATACTCTGCTTTCACTTTCGTTTTTCATTAATCTTAATATAGTACTTCATGTTTCTAAAATTTAATGTTGAATATTTAATAATTCCCTTTAATATTTTGAATTTGAAATGAATTAGTAACAATATAATGAAATGTTTACAGCATTCTAAACAAATAAGATTTTAGTAGAACAATTCGATATATACCTTAAGTAAAAAGTATTATTATTGATTTTTATGAAGTGTGGTCATTTTTATGATGAACATTTGTTTTAATAATTGATTGAATTATCTTTAAATAATGGAGTAATAGATTTAGAGTGTTTTATTAATTAATACAATGAAACAGTTGATACTTTATAATATCGTTCAGAAATATTAAATAATAAGATCAAAGAATTAAAAGTGTTAAATCAATAATTGAGTGATTAATTAAATTCAAATGCACTTTAATAGAACTCTTTAACAATATAAATTATGGATTGTCAAAACATTGAAATAAGAGATCCAAGTGTTTATTTATAAATATGTTGTGGAGCCAAAACACACAAAACTAGAACAATTAAAGGAGTGAGTCCATAAATTTAAGAGTAATTTGAATTTCCAATAGACTCTGGTTGTTAAGATATCATAATAACACTTTTTGATAGTGTAAGATATTGAATTAATTTTAGATGAATGAAAATATGATTGGTTATACATAATTTTTGATTTCTGAATTGAGAGAATAAAAATTAAAAGATATTAGTGTTAATTTATAAAGATAGGATAATATGAAAATCAAAACTAAATTACATGTTATTTTAAAATTTAATCATTCAAAAGTAAGTTTCTTCTAATTTAGGAAAGCCTATACAAATAAGAACAATAAAAATTAAATCATGAAATAAATTAAAACAATATAGAGATGAAAGAAACATAATAAGCCTTGAATTGTCTTGCAAAAGTTTTTAGTGGAGGATGTATCAAAATAAGATAATTACCACCAATTTTGGAAATAAAAGAATTTGAATTAAAATGTTTGGATACTTTAAATGATGCTTTATAAGAGAGAATATAAGATTGGGTACCTTTATTTTATAAATTAACTGGATTAGTAGTTGCATTATCTGTAATGATTAGTTTATATAGATGTTAATTTATGGAAGTATTAAACATTTTATTAATATTAGTTAACATTGTTAGCAATTATGATGTAACTATTAATCCTTAGAGATATTAACCAAAAATGGATGAGAATATTTACATATCTATTTGCTGTCTTATTCCTTTATGATTTACTATGGCTATATATATGTGGAGGAGTAATAATATTCAATTATTTTAGAGCTACGGTATAACTAAAGGAGAATAACATATTAATAAATTTGTCACAGCACTAAGTTATATTGAACTCTTAACTAAAATTCCATTTACTATAGTTTTGTGGAAACATTCAGTAGAGTTTGAATAGTTTTTATCATATTTTATATGATCATAAATTCTTTAAAGTAAATCCTTTAAAATCTTATTATCTTGGAATTTTAAAAATACTTTTCTTATTTTTTTTGAATTAATATGGCCAGATGTATCATAATAAAAATTGAAAATGCACTCTCTACTTATTCATTATGTTCTTTATTTGGCATACATTTATTAAAAAGTTCTGAAAAATCATAAAAATTACATAATTATCTTTTTATTTGGAAAATATTTATGCTAGAATAATTTTATACTTTGAGTCCAGTTACAAATCATTAAGTTTTAGATTTAGGTGAGCTATCTTTTTAAGCTTTTTCTAAATTTCATTTGAATTTATTTATTTTGTCTTGGTTAAATAGGTAAATTAATAGCTTAGGAATCAATATTTAAGGTTTCTAATTATTTGATCATTTAATTTATTTGAGCTATGTTAATATATTCTCCTCCATCTTAATAAAACAACTAAAACCTATCTTTATTTTTATTATTATTGCACTCTAAAATAAATTAATATTATAAAATCAAGGTTATCTTATTTGAAATATATAATCGTGACTAATTTTGAAAATTAAATAGCAATAAATCTATTCAAAAGTGAATAAATTCAAATTTCAAATGATATTTTTATATAAATAAGTTTCAATTATGAAATTTTTGAAAATAAATATTATAATAATTTATCAATTATCAATAGCAATCAATATCTATAAATTTAATTATCATAAATTTTTAGATATAATCTATTAGTAAAGAATCCATATATCATTTAAGAAATATAATTTTAAATAAATAGAAAATGAAGAATCAAATATTTTAAAAGTTTATAATAAGTAAACAATCAAAATAACATTTTATATAATAATGATAATCTAGAAAATAAAAGAACAATAATGGAAATATGTTAAAAATAATAAATGAATTAATAACTTCAACTATTATTTTCAATATGAGAGTATTTATAATAAAATCATTATAGATTTAATGATATATAAATAAATATCACTTATTTTATGACTTCTATTTAAGCCATTCTTCATATTATTCTTTAGCATCTTTAATATTTTTTGTCATTTATTCTTATTCTTATTGATTTAATTAAGAGAACAAGGCAGCATACAATTATTAATTATTTGATTGTAAAGTTAATACTAATTTTTCCATTAATAAAATGGCATCATAATCTTCAAGTGGACTATCATAAAGTTCAGCATGTTCATCATCACCTTCATCATAATCTTCATCTTCTTCATCATCATCTTATTCTAAATCTTAGATTTTTTCTATTGTTTTTTTAAGATCTTCTTCTTCAGCTTGATCATCTTAATCACAAGATTCTTCTTCTTCTCTTAAATCCAATATTTTTGTTGATAATCTTACAAATAATTTTCCAATTTCTGCTGATGTTTATAATAAATAATTAGGTATTTAAGTTAGGGAATATAATTAACATAAAGCAAAGATTAATCTATTGATATCCTATTCATATTTATAGAATTTTTCCATTGAAAGCATAGTTTAGAGAATTTAATCTGTCAATCCTTTACTATTTAAGTAATTAACAGCAAGATTAGGATTATACCAAATACACATACATAAAACTCCAATATTAACAATTTTGAATCTATTTGTTTTTTTTTCTTTCTAATTAATAATATATTTGAAATAATTACTTATAAATTAAGTAAAGTAAAGTCTATGATTTATGGAATCAAATTATCTATTTGACCAGGGTAATTTTCTATTAATGCTATTAGAATAGTTGTAACTTAATTTTAATCTGTTTCATCTGTTCCATTGTCAGCTAAAACATAAATCTTTTATATGAATCTAAAAACCAAAGAAATAAATGAATTGCCAAAGAAATCATTTTAAGTTAAAAATGTAGCTCCTCCTTTTTAAATATAGTTTCTAAAAGATCCCAACATTTAGGAAATGAATTCACTTCCCCAATCTTTCTTACATCCTTCTAATAACACATATTAATCCTCTGTTAAACCTTAGATACTATATACATTTGTTTCCTAAGGTATTCCCAATATAATGTAACATAAGACTGGATAATAGAACCATAAACCTGGAGTTAATTATTTTCTTTTATAAAGCATTATATTCAAGATCTCTAAAGCCTCATTAATGAAATCACATCCAGTTTCTGTTAAAGCAAAATTAATAATAGGAAATATAACTGATTCTAATTAAGTATAAGATTCTTATTGAAGTGGAGCATTAAGAATTCTTTTGATTGCTTCTAAACATCCAGAAGCTGCTAATTCAGCTTCACCATCATCATCAGAATCACCATCTCCTTAATTCTATTTATTGCAATACTTTTAGAAAATAGTAGCAATATGAGCAGATAATTGATGAGCATAAGGAGTGATTTCATTTGTAAAATTCTTAACTATTTCTTCTAATGATCTTACAATCTTTTCATTATCTATCAATTCCATCAATTTAATATATATTTCTAATACTTAACTCAATTATGGTCTTATTAAATCTTAAGCTTCTTTATGTTAAAGAATTGAACTAAAAGCAATTGCTGCAGCAACTCTAACAGGTAATTCTTTATCTAATATACATTTAGATATTCCTTAAACTGCCATTTAAATATTTTGTTTATTTTTAAATTCAATTATTCCATATTCATTAAATACATGACATGCTCTAGCCCTTAAAAATCCAACTGGATTTTAGAATTCTTATAAAATATACTTCTCTAAGATTTATTCTAAACCACCTTAAATAGAATTTATTTTTGATATTTAATGAACCAAACTTTCAATACCCCATAATAATGCTTCTTTTTTAAGAAGATCTAAAGGTTAATTTGTTAATGGATCAATATTTGTACTAAATGCAGTTTAACAATAATTAAGAAATGAAATCAACATCAAATTGCCATTTATATCTTTTTATTAACAAACTTCTTAAAGAATATCATTCGCAGGATTCTTTATATTATAAGTTGAAAGTGAAAAATCATCTAATCTTTTAATATATTCTTCTGGATCATTTTTCCATAATTAATCATCTCTAGGAGTTAATTACATTTTTGGAATAGCAATATGATATATAAGTTTATCATAATGAGGTTTAAGTAATTCTTTAGTATTGTCTAATTTTAAAGAGTAAAATAAATATTTAAGAGCAAATAAACAAGTTCTAGGTCCTTAGAATTAAGTGTTATCAGTTAATATTTTATAAAATATTTCCATAAATCCTATTGCATAAGTTGATTTAATATGCTCTGCAAATTCAGCCATATTTGGTTCAACCATTCTTTTATTTGCAAATTTCTAAATAAATCTTAATATGATTCTGCTTGCCCATTTCTTATTTGTCCATATATATGTTTTTTCTCTTCTAGTTTCCTCTTCAGAATCTTAAGTTAAACTTGATAACTCTGGAGGTGGAGGTGCTTATATAATAGTTCTAAAATATAGCATCCATTTAGCTACTACATTATAATCTCTCATATATATTGGCATCATTAAATGAGTAGCATGATGAAATATCTTTAAAATCACTTTTACTAATTATCCACTTTATTCATTATAGCCTTCTAAAAACTTTTGTATTAAAGTCTCCAAAATTGGAAATGTTGAAGCAACTAAAGGTTCTAATGGTTTACGATCATTTTCTAATAAAAATTAATGGACTTCACATGCACGTCTTAATGTTAGCAATGCACTCCATAAGTCTTCATATGAAGTAAAGTTTGATAATTTAATTACTAATTATTATACTAATTATGGCCAATCATTAGGAAAGTCTATTGCGACCAATTTGTAAATCAAATCTTCATATTAAGATCTTAATTTCTTGATTTAGATACACCTACACTAAATTATATAACAAACCTTGCTAAAGCATCAATAATAGTTGCTCTAATCACACTTTTTTCTTCTACATTAATAATAAAATGGCCTGGTTCTTTCTTATCAGCCCAATGCTTTTCTAAAAATGTCTTCAAGTTTACTACAGCACTTTGTCTTAATAATTCTGGTTATGTTTAATCATCAACTATCCTTAATAATGAAATGGCATATCTAAAAATTTGGAGGATTTTAATTACAATGGTTATAAAGATGCTTATTTTAATAGAGTCTCTCCATTATTTACACTCTCTTATGATGTTCCATATGTTAACTATAAGGCATTGATTAAATATCCTAAGTCTTAGGTTTGCATTCACTAACTAATTTTTAAAATTTATTTTTAAATTTTTAAACAAAATTTGCGCTAAAATCATATTATATGCTCTTATTTTTTATTTATAATATAAACATTATATTCTCATATTATCATTCAAAAAGAAATAACTTAATTTTACTTTCTGAAATACTTATAAACCTACTATATAATATATATAAGTTTTAGATTTATATAAGTTTAATTTGACCTAATACTTATATAAAATGATTTATTCAATTAAATTAAATCTTTATAAATAAAAAAGACAAGAAAGTATAAATCGAATGAAAACCCTATTATTACAAAAACTTAATGTATTATTTCAAAGGCTATTTTTCATTATTATATTTAGCCATCATACCTTTATATTAGAGAATACTTCAAATTTAGTTTTAAGCATATCATATATATATCATTTAGATTTGCTGTAAAAAAATTTAAGGATTTCATTTACATCTTAATTAAACATTCTAAATTATTAAAACAATAAACAATTTTATTGTATAATCTCTGCATTTTAAATTTAAATCTTTCTATTTGAAATCAAAATACTTAATTACCTTTTTGTATCTAATAATCACTTAATTTTTCTAATTACTATATAGTACAGATTCTTTTGATAAGTAGAATAAAAATTATAATAGAAATTATCTTTTAAATATTTAATAGAATACAAATAAAATAATAAAGATAACATTTTTTATTAATGAAAATCACTCTGATTTAATAAAATCACTTTAATAAAGTAACTGTATATGTCAGATAAACTTGAATCAAATCTGAATATTAAAGTTATATTCAATTTTATGATTATCATAGAATATATTTAATAATACTTCGAGATTTAATAGTTTTAAAAGGGAAAAGATAAATAATCAGTATTCAAATTAATAAAAATGATAATTAAGTCTTCTTTAATAATTTATATATAATTATGATGAAAAACAAAATAAGGCTTACAGCTCTTGACATAATGGCACTAGTCACAGAACTAAAGTAAAAAATAATAGGGACTAGGTAAGTACTTGATTAATAAAAGACTTTCAAATATCTACAATATTGATTCTAAGACGTATGTTTTCAAATTTTCTCTCCAAGAATAAAAATCCTATCTTGTGATAGAAAATGGGTTGAGATTTAATCTTTCTGATACTATAGAGAAAAATAAAGTACCTTCAGGATTCACAATGAAATTTAGAAAGTTTCTAAGGAGT